GGGCCTGCGGTACTTCAGGGTACCGGCTGTCCCCACCACGGCTCAATGGAGGGCGAGGGCTCCTCCAGGCTGTGGCGTTTCCCCCCCTCAGGGGCAGGGGGCTGACAGGAGCCGGGGCACTGCCAGGGCTCGGGGCGATTCCTCCACCCCCCAGGCTGGGGGGGGGGGGAGAAGGGGGAAATTGGGGCACCTGCGGGGTGCTCCCCCGTCCCCAGGGCTGGGGGGGTCTTCAGCCCTTTCTGTGCCCCCTAAGCAGCACCAGGGACTTGGTCTGGTACCTAGCGTTTGGTGGTGGCTGTCAGAGCCAAGAGGCTTCCAGTCTCCCTCCCTTTGTAGCGACGTAATAATTTTTGGAGAAAGAGGGTTTTCCTTAGAGGGAAATTGGGGCACCTGCGGGGTGCTCCCCCGTCCCCAGGGCTGGGGGGGTCTTCAGCCCTTTCTGTGCCCCCTAAGCAGCACCAGGGACTTGGTCTGGTACCTAGCGTTTGGTGGTGGCTGTCAGAGCCAAGAGGCTTCCAGTCTCCCTCCCTTTGTAGCGACGTAATAATTTTTGGAGAAAGAGGGTTTTCCTTCTGCCCCTCCGCAAGCTCTGTAACTAAGGGGAAAACAGTGGTGCCCCTGTGGGCTCCGTGCACAGGCGTACTGCGGCTGAGAGCTTAGGTGGCCGTTCCCAAGCCTGTGTTAGCCATTTTCCTCGAACCCACGTCCGTGTGTGCATGCATCATGCTGGGACAGAGCCCTGCTTTCAGCATCTGCGTGCTGGGCCTTGGGTTGCTGAGTGTTGTTACTGCAGTTCCTTTCAAAAGCTGAGAATGGGGCACACCTATATATATATATATATATATATATTTTACCTTTCTGCTTTTAGATGAGGACTATCATCTTCCTAGGAAGCTGAGCACAGTTGACACAGAAAAGTAGATGCATCTTATCTCTACCTCACTTCCGAAACAGACGGAACCAGTGTTGTCCTCTGAGGTTGCTTAATCGCACTTGTTTTGTTGTTTTTTTGAGTTTGCCTTTCCCCAAAGGAAATGAGGCATCTGCTCAGTTTGGGTGCTGGTTTTTCACTTCCACACAGGACGCTCCGCCAGCTGCGCTGGCTTGGCCGGGGCGCGCTTTCCTTGGTTAAAGAGTGGCAGAAGGCAGGCAGGGGGAACGTTTCCTCCCGTGACATTATACGGGAGGTATGACTCGGTGTGCTTTGTGCGATAGGTGCGTAAACATGGCAGTGACCTACTGGGGCTTATTTATGTGGTGCCCTTGGAGCAGATAAGGATCATTGCGCTTGGAGTATTGTCTAATTCTGAATATCCAGGAATATGACTCCAGGCAATTCTCCCGAGGGGGCCTTTCTGGCGATCTCTGAGATCGTATCAGGAGATAGCCGCTGAAATGTGCGCGTATCCAGCAGGATTATCGTTATCGGAGGGATAGTCCGTGTCACTGGGAAGCAGACTTTTCAGTTGAACTGGTAATGAGTGCTTAATGTGCTGGCTGGAGCCTAGGTTGGAGAAATGGCCGTCTCTCGTCATTTTAGCGTCCCCGTCCTGCTCTAGCTAAGTTCTGGCTGAGCAGGGGGCACTGCTGGTGGGGCTGGAGCTGGTCCACCCGAGCGACTGCTGGCCTGAGAAAAGGCAAGGTGGTGGCCGAGAGCCAGGGACGCTCGTGGCTGTTAGAGCTGAGGTCTCCAGGTGTTGTCTGAGCATCGCGACCTTCCTGCTTGCGAGACTGCACTTAGCTGCTTTATATCCTGCTTCAGTTGTTTGGGGGGGGGGGGCAAAAACCCCACATTCACCATTTAAATTGCATTTTGGTTGATAATTTTAACAGTATTTTTGCAACTCACTGGACATAACTCACTCTGCTGTAAAAGTCCATTAAAAGACAGCGGAATCCCTGGTGAGAGCTGTGATCCTGCTCGCCCAGCCTCTTTCCGGGAAAACGTGGGCTCTGCCAGACCAAATCCCCGGCTGGAAAGTAGGGAACAGTCTAACGTGAGGACCTTGGGGTGAGCTGTAGCTTGTTGAAGAGGTACGTGCAGTTGTGTGCTCCTAGATAAGAGCAGTTATTTTCCATTCTTATGAGTGGTAATAAAACCAAGTAGTTGTCAGGCTTTTGCTGCAATAAAAGAAATCAAGGACGTGTCTGTCTCTCTGGGCTAGGCTGGTGTAGAAGAGCAGGTTACTTTGTCATAAAGAGCCTGCAAATTTAATGCAACGGGAAGGTGAGATGCTTTGAAATGTAAGGGGATATTTTTAAAGATCCTCAATCCTTCCAAACAGAGTAATGTAATTAGTAATTCTTAAATCTGGGCTATGTGGAGAAAACTGTGTCTGGCTGCGCCTTCAGAAGTCGTTAAAGGGTTCCCTGTCCTTTTCAGCCCGGGAGTCCTTGGGTAGCGTACGTGTTCGCTAATCGGTGCCGACTGTGGAAGTCGGTGAGAACAGATGAACGGGGAAATCCATCGGGGCAGGCGTGGGAAGCGGTGAGCTGAGAGCACAACGTGGTCCGAAACCGAGGGCTTCTGTTACAGCAGAGCCGGAAGATCCTGCCTTAACTCCTGAGCTCAGCCGCGGTATGGACGTTACGCAGGCGAGCGAGCGATGGACTCTGTCCTGGAGAATTCGCGACCGAAGGCAGTGAAGGCACAGGGAAGTAGCGTTGGTCTTGTGGGGGTTAAGACGGGCAAGAGAAATTTGAAATTTGCTGTTTGCACCCCAAGTCTGGTATTTTAACAAGATTATTTCTAAAAGCAGGCATCCGGGAAGGGTCGAACGTGGAAACTAGAATGTCAGTAGAGTTCTTTTTAAGAACAGAAGTATGAATAATATTTTCTGGTTTGGCTAATTATAGCTCTTTGTTTTGAATTAAAGATGCAGCGTTAATAAAAATAATGGCTTCTATTGAAATGAAAACAACGTCTTCCGACCTAGCAGTTTTGTAGCAGTAGTGTCCATTTATTTGTTGCTTCTAACACGGAAATTAAATGACTTCTCATCTCCTACTTTAGTGTCCTTTTAAAATTGCTTATAAAGGTGATGTATGTCCCGGAGTAGAATCCTTTAGTGTTCGGTGTAACGGGCTTTGAATCTTTAAGCACGTATCACTGCGATACAGGTAGCTGGTCTAAGGTCGTAGAAGGGACCGTCTCGGGGCCTCGCTCATCTCTGCTTATCGCACAGGTACATCTTACATTTATGACCCATTTTCTCTTTACTTTAAAGATATTGCTGGGCATCTTCCTTCATCTCTGCTGTGAGCAGAGAGGCTCCAACACACTTTTAAGCTCGGTTTTCTCCCGAGCCCGTCATGTTCTCCTCCCGCCCTCCTTTTTCACTTCGGAGAAGGAAATTCCTGTTTCATGCTGCTACGGCTTAATTAAACTGGGAGGGCTCTGCAGGGTTCCCGTGGCTGTTTAGCAAATAGCTTTGCTGGCCTGCGTGATCAAAGTTTTGTTGTGAGTGGTGATCTAACCACTTCCATCAAAACTTGGGATTTTTTTTTTTTTTTGATGTACCAATAGCCTTGACGTGCGTAGGGATGTGATCCTTCAAAAAAAAGAAAAAGTTGGGCCAGGCTGATAAGTGCGCGATAAGGGTTGGGCTTTTGAGGCCGCGTAGGCTTTCGTTGCTCTGTGGAAGCAGCCTTGGTCTGTGGCAAGGAATGTTAACTGGGAAAGTGAAAGAGCAACTGGTTTGATATGGTGTAATTTTC